GTGAGCACTTGCTTTGCTTGCAGTTGAGCTCCTCTGTGCCTGTGGCAGAGATGCATCTGGTTGACTAAACCTGTTCTGTCTGCTAAATCTAATGATCAGACATGGGATAATTGCAGTTGGCATTCCTTGCCTTATTCTTTTCTCCCTATCCTTCTCACTTAAAACCTTGGTTCAAGTTAGCTGATTGTTGTTTAAATTATCAGCTGTTGACATGAGGAGTATGTGTAAGATACATAAAATATAGTTATGGCCTAAACCAATTAGCAGATACAGGCTGAATCTTTTTGGATGAGCAACAACCTTAACTAAAATCACTCTGGAATACAGGCAAGTCTGCCTAGTTTAAATTTGTGTGGCCTGCAAGGATCTGGGTAGCCTTCAGTGTTCACTAAGAGCTTTCAGTTGTTTCCAGAGCCCATGAGCATTGTCAAATCCCAGTATATTTTCACTCCCTTCCTCAAGAACCTGGGGTATGGGTAAGAAAGGGGAGGAGAGGTGAGGAAGAGACCTTTTAGTGCTTTCATTTGCTGTAGTTTTAATATTCTAAAGCAGCATTCTTTGAGGGGGCTGGAAAAGTACTGGTGAACCTCACTGTGGGTAGAGATCCTGTTGGGTCCTTCAGCAAGTGTGCTAATAATAGCTCTGGTTTTTAGGCAGAGTGGAAGGATGAGAAACATGCTTTGTCACTATCCCTACCCTCCAAGTTTTTCCTTGTAGTGATGGAGAAACATCTTTCTTAGGAAGTTCACGATGTGCTTTCAGAAAAGCAGTCCCTTTATATAGACATAATTTTTTTTGTTACTTACTAGGTTGTGTCAGGGTTTGTGCTGCTTCTGTCTTAGTCTCTGCTTATTGGTGTTCTCTTGTATGCATTTGCTTAAAATAGCTGAATTTGAGGTTTGACTTTTTTGCTGCACTTGTTCATTATAAGGAAGTCTCCCTCTAGCTGTTCTGTCCCCTTAAATGGAGAATTGGAAATGCCAGCTTAGCAGTATTTTGCAGCTAGGGGAGACCTGCCTGCTACTGCATGCATGCAAACCAGTCAACAGAGGAGCAGTTTAAAGCACTTAAGAGTAGACTAATCTATTGTTTGATTAGTTGTGATGCTTCTTAGGTATCTAGGTCATCAGAATATCTTCTTTCTTCTTCCCTGGTGGAATTGTAGCTTCAGGTACTTCTTGCTTCTGCTGACAGTTTATGTAACAGTTACAGATCTGTCCTTTAACATCTTATTGCCCTGAAGGAACAGAGAGAGTTAAGTGTGTCTTCCCCTCTCCCCTACTCCTCGGTCAGTCTTACTGGATATCCAAACAAGTCTTGGGAACTTAGCTCATCAGGCCTATTTATAGCTGAAATATTAAAAACATTTAATTATTTCTGGCCTTAAAATGAGCTACTTGGCAGTATTTGCTAGTCAGCAATAGGAGAGCAGTGATGCATTAAGGTCTGTGGCAGCCCTATAGCTTTCATGTGGGTCTTGCTCTGAGTTTATTGCCTGGAGTAGTACTGCTGGAGAAAGGGCAGTACAATTTTTTGGCTTAAATCTAGTGATTATTTTTTTTTTCCAAGTAGATGTGCCAGATTTTTTATCTTGTCCAAATAAGGTTTGAAGGTTAACCAATTTTTTTTTTCCTGTGCTCTGGAACTTGGATCACACATGCTTATGCTTTCCTCAGTTCACTACATCAAAACAAGAAACATTTAAATGGCCTGTCTAGTTTCTAAGGAAAATTTCTGAGGTGGAGCTTTGAGAGAATGCATTGCATTTAAATGTAGTGCAGCAGTTTCCTCATGATAACTTATTTTAAGCCTTTGATTCAAGCTCTGAACTCCCTCAGGGCGCAGAGGTAGAACAAGATCTCAAAACAGATGGTTTGAGGTTGGTGTAGCCCACTTCAGCTTGCTTTACCATTCGGGTGCTGTGGGAACCTCTCGTGCCTCTAGTGAACCATGAGCCAGGGGACTTGTGTTTGTGTCTGTACAAAAGCAACCTGGGGTGTGTGTAGAGCACCAGGGAAGATGCTGATAGTTGAATTATCTAGGAGTACTGGAAGTTTTGATTTAAAGCTGCCACAGGTTTCTTTACAGACAGGCTATTAAAGTATCAGCTTGAAGATCTACAGTGTGAAATGTTTCTAACTCCTTGTAATAGAACAGATAGAGGGATGATGAGAGTCATCTACACTAATCAAAGTGAGTTCTTTATTGTTCATAATCCAAGCCTTAAGCCACTAAAAAGCAAATGAGGTTTATTTGAGTGTCATGCTGCATCTGTGTGCAATCTTTTGTCCAGTCCCCTGCCCAGCGAAGCAATTACTGGTTGTCACTAGGTGCTCATTGATCAAAAACCTGAATTGTATCTAAAACCAACCGAGTTTAACAATGTGTGTGTTTTTTTTTTTTGTAATGAAAGAACATGATTGATGTGTTTAATGTGCTTAAGCTATATTTGAGTTGAAAGTTAAAGGTGACTATGTTGGTGCTTTATTTCAATTAATGTGCTTAAAGGGAGGAATGTGCATTTAAAGCAGGCTGCCTCTTGGAGCATGCAGGTTGAGCTGACAGTTCTCATTCCCTTACTCTTGCACTGCAGGACAAATAGGTCATCAGCTGCTAGCTGGGTACTTGGGGGAAGCAGGAATTAGCTTTGTATTTTACCTCATACTTTAAGAAATGGGTTATTTAGTTGAGTTTGTTCAGTTGAAATGCTGTCTGTATATAAACAAGAAGCTACTGTTCACAGTGTGGCTTAGCATTTTAACAAGTGGTGCTTGTTCTGGGTACTTGGCTGATGAGTGTCAATAGAAGTCCTGCTGCAGTTGTAGCTGAGTGAAGAGCTTATAGGAGAAACTGGTAGTATCATCTCTTGGCTGTGTTTGCTTCCATCCAAGTCTGTGTGCTTCTGTGTCTTGCTGTACAGCATTGCTTCTCATGTATCTCCCAGCCTGTTGGGCCTGGGTTAGGAAGTGATTATGCACAGTCAGAGCTGTGCATTAGCTCATGTGCTCTAATTGAATGATTCAGTTGGAAGAACCAACAGGAACTCTTCCATGCTGGAAGAGTGATTAACAAACAGCTGTACTAATAAGCCTGAATGGATGGCAGACTTCAGGGGCAAGTCCAATTGATGTGTGATGCTCAGCTCTAGCCAGAGTGGTAGATGTGACTGTGATCTGGAGTATGTTGGTTCAGTAGTACAGAAGTGGGGTCAGCAGAACTGCCACCGTGGACTTGCAGCGGACAGACTTTGGCCTGTTCAGAAGACTGATAGGAGGAGTCCTTTGGAAGGCAGTCTGAAGGGCAAAAGAGGGCTGGACATACTTCAGGAAGAAAGTCTTAAAGGCACAGGAGCAGGCTGTCCCCATGTCCTGAAAGATGAGCCAGCAGAGAATAAGACCATCCTGGCTGAACAGAGAGCTTATGGCCTCTGGAAGAGTGGGCAGGCCACTCATGAGGACTACAAAGATGTAGTGAAGATATGCAGGGAGAAAAATAGAAGGGCCAAAGCCCATCTGGAACTCAACATGGCTGTTGCTGTTAAAGACAATGAAAAGTTCCTACAAATGCATTAAGAACAGAAGGATGACTATGGGGCATCTTCATCCTTCATTGTGTGTTGGGGAGGGGAACACAGTGACCAAGGGTGAGGAAAAGGCTGAGGTACTTAATGCCTTCTTTGCTGCAGTCTTTAGTACCAGTTGCTCCCTGGGTACCCAGGCCCCTGAGCCAGAAGAGAGGGATGGGGAGCAAAATGAGACCTCCATAATCAACGAATAAATGGTTAGTGACTTGCTACATCACTTAAACATCCATAAGTCTATGGAACCAGATGGGTTACACCCAAGAGTTCTGAAGGGTTTGGTGAATGTGCCCACCAAACCACTTTCCATCGTTTTTCAGCAGTTCTGGCCAGCCGGGGAGATCTCAGTGGACTGGAGGTTAGCAAATGTGACACACATCAACAGGAAGGGCCAGAAGGAGGATCTGGGGAACTATGGACCTGTCAGTTTGACATCAGGGATGGTTATGAAGCAGGTCATCTTGAGTGCCATTGTGCAACACATGCAGGACAACCAAGGGTTCAGGCCCCATCAGCATGGGTTTATGAAAGGCAGGTCATGCTTGATTAACCTGATCTCCTACAACAAAGTGACCGGCTTAGCAAACGAGGGAAAGGCTGTGGAAATTGTCTACTTGGACTTGAGACAGCCTTTGACACTGTTTCCCACAGTGTCCTCATGGAGAAACTGGCTGCTTTCATGGCTTGGATGGGTGTACACTCTGATGGGTAAAAAACACTGGCTGGATGGCTGGGTCCAAAGAGTGGCGGTGAATGGATTTAAGTCTAGTTGGTGGTTGGTCACAAGTGGTGTTCCCTAGGGCTCAGTATGTGGGCCACTGTTTAATATCTGTATCAATGATCTTGACAAGCAGATGGTGTACCCTCAGTAAGCTTGCAGATGACACCAAGTTGGGTGGGAGTGTTGATCTGCTTCAGACAGAGGGGCCTGGCTGGATCAATGGGCCAAGGACCACTGTATGAGACTCAACAAGGCCAAATGCTGCATCCAGCACTTGGACCACAACAATCCTATGCAATGCTCCAGCCTTGGGGAAGAGTGGCTGCAAATCTGCCTGGCACCTGGGGCTGTTGGTTGACAGCTGGCTCAAGAGGACCCAGCAGTGTGGCCAGTAGCATCCTGGCTTGTATCAGAAATACTGTGGTCAGCAGGACTAGGGCAGGGATCATCTCCCTGCACTCAGCACTCTTGGGGCTGCACCTTGAATACTGGGTTCTGTTTTGGACCCCTCACTACAAGAAGGACATTGAGGTGCTGGAGCAGATGGGGGAGAAGGGCAATGAAGCTGGTGAAGGGCCCAGAGTGGAACTCTTGTGAGGACTGGCTGACCTGGAGCTATTGAGTCTGAAGGAAAGGAGAATGACATTATCACTTTCTCCATCTACCTGAAAGGAGGTTGTAGAGAGGGGGAGAAGGGCAATGAAGCTGGTGAAGGGCCCAGAGTGGAACTCTTGTGAGGACTGGCTGACCTGGAGCTATTGAGTCTGAAGGAAAGGAGAATGACATTATCACTTTCTCCATCTACCTGAAAGGAGGTTGTAGAGAGGTGGGTGCTTCTCCCAAGTGACAAGAGATAGGACAAGAGAAAATGGCCTCAAGTTGTGCCAGGGGACGTTCAGGTTGGATATTAGGAAAATTACTTCACTGGAAGGGTTGTCAAGCACTGGGACAGGCTGCCCAGGGAAGTGGTTGAATTGCCATCTGTAGACATGTTTAGAAGTCTTGTAGATATGGTGGTTAGGGACATGGTTTAGGAGTGGATGTGGTAGAGTTAATTGAATGGTTGGACATGATGATCTTAAAGATCTTTTCCAACCTAAACAGTTCTATGATTCTATCTTGAAAAAAGAATGTAGATATGGCTCTGGTCCTGCAACACTGCTACAAGCTGAAAGGGCTAAGAGATGCTATAAAAAACCAACAAAAAACCCAAACCAACAAAAGCTTATTGCTTTGGTTGCCTCTGTACCAGTACCAAATGTAATGTTATGGAGACCTTGATAGGGAGGTTGCCTTGAGATTTGCACATGCAAATTACTGGTCACTTGACTAGAAACACTTCACTGTAGGTGTGGTCATTCTGTGAATTCCACCTTCTAAAGTTAGTTCTCATCAGTTCCTGTACGTGATTTGCTGGGACAAGACTATTCCAAGGATTTAGAGCAGTTTCTAGTCATTATACTGGGGTTTAGGACAAATCCATTTAAATTCTGAGTTTTAGTACACCATGACCATGCTGGAGCAGATGGGGGGGTATGGAATAAGGGCTTCACACTCTGAATTTCATTAAGTGCTGGCCTGACTTGCCTTGACAGTGCTGTCAGCACGCTTATGTTATGAACCACTTACAGAAGTTACTACAGTGCTTCTGTAGCTTTTACAGCAAACTGGACTGTGAAGTGGAGTTTTGGAGAGACTGCTCTGAAAGTTGTTCCTGGAAGTGGAATGTGATCCTCCTGCCCAGGATGCTGAAATCACCTAGAAAGGCTCCTGAAGTGCTGTGAGACAGTGAATAGCCAGAAGGTAGTATAAAGGACCAAAATGGTGGTGACACCTGCCTAGGAGCACATGACAGGTTAGCATATGCTGATGGTGCTGGTGGGACAAGCAGTAGAACTTGTTCTACAGTTAGCATACCTAACTTGGGCAATGTCTTTCCTGGTAATTGCTAACTAGTTCAAAATTTCTTGAAGGGAAGGGTGTTCTAACTTGAGCATGATGTTATCAAACCAGCTCTTCTGGGTGGATCAACTTTCCTTTGCAGCTGTCAACACTGTAGCTCTCCACCCTCTAAAGTGCTTGATTCATGACAGTGATGGACTTCTCAGTAGGTAGGTTGGGAGCTTTCAGAGATACTAGGCAAGCTAGTTAAAAAAAAAAAAAAAGCCCAACAAAACAACTTGATACAAAACAAAAGCCCAACTTGATGCTCTTGAGTTGACTTTACAATTTCTACTGGTAAGTGACATCTAGTAGGAATTAAACAGGACCTAAGATGAATCTTCTGTCCTGTCCCCTCTGAAATAAGTGGGCTCCAGGGGTGCAGAATACTATTAAGATGTTGTAGGCTTTTAATGGGCTTATTGTGTATAAGCTCTTGATAGTGCTGTCTACTTGTGGTAAGGAGAATCTGCTTATTTAAAAATAACTAATGATAAAAGACCACTCTGCTTATTTGTTTGGAAAGTTTCTTGGCTTGAAGAGGCTTTGGGTGGCCATGCTCTGTGCTAGCAGAAGGGTGCTCAACTCATGTAAGGAAAAGATGGTTGATGTCAGGGTCCAAGGGAATGAAGAAAAGTTGCAGGTGTTGCTTCAGACTGTTTTACAGTCTACCTTAGTTTGTAAAACTCATCTTACTGCAGCTGAAGTGAAATATGTGCTTAAATAAAATAAAGCTGTCTTAAGTAATCAAATTAAACTGGTGCCTGGGTGACATGTAGAGGTTTTGATACATTGTGTGAATATCTGTTTGCTGAAACAGGCATTGCTTCTGAGAGCATCTAATATTAATGATCTTATCAATAGAGTTGTACCCTTTGTTTCTAGACTGTGATTCTGAAGACTTTCTTTCTGACTGTCAAAAGCTTCATACCTCACTTGAGGTATCCTCCCAGATTTTCTGGCCTACAAAGGATGCTGCCTATAATGGGGCAGAACCTGTTTTGTAAGCTCTCAAGAAAGAGGGCTTGCTTAATTTCTAGGAAAACTAGAGGTGTAGGGCAAAGGTAAGAGGTTTTCTTAAGTGGTGACCAATATTGTGTCAATGTAGTTTGTATAGTTTGGTGTCCTGTTGATAGCTTTTCTTTTTAAAGTTACTCCTTCCAACTGTCAGGCCTTCTGGTGCAGTTGAAGGTTTTGGCCAGCTTGGCCAAACAGTTTGAGTTGGTGTGTTGCTATGGATTGTTTTACACACCCACTTGGATAACGTTAGAATTTAGTTCTAGCTGCTTAGGATTTAAGCATTCAAGTTTATTTTCTGTTCAAACCAAATACTACAGTAGCTTAATATATTCAAACCGACTTTTCTTTTAAAATTTAGTGCCACTGGCCTCTGAGGCAGCACAGATTCCATGCTTGGAAATGGAAATGTCCTCTCTGATTTGCAACAAAGTGAAATGTTGTCAGAATCAGCTAAAGAAACAGCCACTGGAAAAACTCCAGGGTCACCATGTTACCAGCCTTTCAAATTCATGGTACTAACTCAGATGTCTCATTACATCCACAAAACAGTGTGTTGGAGCACTGTTCATAAGTCTTTTGCTGAGGATGGTATCTAGGATGCAAAGTCTGGCAGAAACAACTTGGCAAGTCCTGTGGGTATTGGCAGGGTCTCTGCCATGAATAAATTAAACTGTGGTACATTCCATGGTGCCTCATGACATGTCCTGCAAGAGAACACTGCTGCTGGGCTGCTTCCACAGGAAGCATGGAGCCTGTGGAATATACCTGCACACAGTGCAGCAGGGAGCTGGAGATGGCTGCTGCTGTGTCTCAGTTAAAGCAGTGCTTGGAAATGCAAGCATGACTAGCAGTCCAGTGTATTTAAACTCATATGGTGATGTTCTGAGGTAAAAAACTGTTAGGAAGGTGCTTCAGCTAGGTTTGTGCGTATGGGGTTTGGTAGATTATGGCAAAATGTAAATCTGGAGTTGGAGGCAATTCTGTAAGCACAAAACTGCTTCCATGTGCTTGATAGGGAAGGCAGGATCAGGCCAGTGGCAGAGTTAATTTCTGCCGTGGGACAAACTTCAGGTTGTGCTACTTGAACAAGAAGAGGAGGTTTCATCTTGAAGAGGTAATTTTGTTTGGTTTTCTTTTAGGCCTGTAACCCAGTAACTTCTGAATTCTTGATGTTGGGTAAATAGAATACTGGTGCTGTTGTGCTTATGTATGTTTGAAGGGCTGTGTTACCTTAATTTATCATTAGTAACTTAAAACTCAGCTGAGTTACAGTTCCTTTCAGCTACTGGTTGATCCTGAAAGGATATTGATTCCTAGTTGGTGTAAAAATATTTTCTTAACTCTCTTTGAAAGAAATGGTACTTACTGTTATTAAATCTTGTTGAATAGGGCGTCATAGTAGGAACCCAGAAATTACCTCAGTATTTTTTGTTTTTCTTATCTCAGAAACATTAGGCCTTGTATGTGCTCAGGAGTTTCTTGCAAGCAGTGAGTAGGCACTTAGTAGTCTGTGCTGGATTGAGTACTGAAACAGGTGTAGTGTGTTGGAATTAGAGGAATTTAATCATCTGCCTGTGTTTGTAATCCTGGGGTTATACACTAAAACAGTCTTGCTTGCACCTGTTGGCAAGCAGAACTGACAGAAAACTCCCCCTTGAGTAGTATAACAAAGTGGTGATTTAAAAATGGCCTTTTTTGGTCCTCTTTGGAATTTTATTTGAAAGTAATATTTTTTCTGGATAAAGGCCCTTCACTTTTTGTTTAATGGAAGTTATACTTAAGAAGCCTTTAAAAGGGGTTTTGATGCTGTAAAAAGTTATTTTTTGATTTCTTGAAACACAGAATGCAGAAGATCTGAAATGTAGACTATATACAAAGCTGATGAAAACAGACAGGGAACTATTGTGGGTTTCATTGTCTGCACGCTTGCGTTCCCAAGAATGTCACTCTTACTGCTGGAAATTAAAGCCCATCTCAAGGCTTCACTTCAAATCAATGTCTGGTGTCCTAAGCTCTGACTTACTAATGTATTGTAACCTGTCAATTTGCAGGGAAGCATTATGAGGAGGAAGAGGAGGATGCCCTGCCTGACTCAGACGACGAGGTGGATTTGGATAAGCCACGCCCCATACAGATTGTTCTTGCTCATGAAGATGACCATAACTTTGAATTAGACGAAGAAGCATTGGAAAAAATCTTGCTTCAGGAGCACATCAAAGATCTTAACATAGTAGTTGTGTCTGTAGCGGGAGCTTTCCGCAAAGGAAAATCTTTTCTGCTGGACTTCATGCTTAGATACATGTATAACAGGGTGAGTAATTTGGATTTTCCCTGCAGGAGAAAAGTAGCTTGGTATTTTAGTTGTTTACCTTTGTATTTGTTGACTTGAACACAAACACAGCAGGTCAAAACTTTTGTAGTTCTTTGGGTGAGGAAGCCAACTGCTTTGTTTCTACTCTAAAAAAGTGTATTTAAGTGGCAGTTTTTCAATATAAATTTTCCTGCAGTTATCCTTGGTATTCTAGTTGTTTACCTTTGTATTTGTTGAACACAAACATAGCAGGTCAAAACTTTCCTAGTTCTTCGGGTGAGGAAGCCAACTGCGTTGTTTCTACTCTAAAAAAGTGTATTTAAGTGGCAGTTTTTCAATATAAATTTTCCTGCAGTTATCAAGTGAACTTATTTGTATCTCGGTGTAAATGGGCATAAGGAGAACTTGAGGGAGTGTGGTAGCCTTTTAGTTGAGCTTTGGGAAAAGGCTCATCCAAGTGGTGGCTTGGAGGAATCTTGCTTTGACTTAATCTCCTGAAATCATATTACCCATTGCTTACCCATTGTTGGAGAGTCTTATCAGGTAGCTATTGGAGGACTAAATCTACTTAGATCTGAGGTATGGCAAAAGGGAAAAAGTTTCCTGTTTACTGCTTGAAGTGTGTCTCTGAACATAAGCCAGAAACTTAATCTTTTTGAGTTATTGGTTAATGAATGCCTCATCCAGAATTAAACTTACTTTAGTTTGTAGCTTTTGGCTGCAGTCTTTTGTGTTATACTTTGAGCTCTTGGCTGGACAAAGAGCGGTAGGGTGTCCTGTGAGCATACACATCTGCCTGTCTCAGCTTGTGGTGTTTTTTTAATCTGCATAGCCAATATTGACAACTCAGTGTTTTGTTGCTTTTTGAAGCTTTTAAAGCAGAACTGTTTCCTCTTTTTGATCAGTTTCTTCAGACTTGTGATTAGTTTCTGCTACCATGAATTCCGACTGCATCTATTTTACCTTTGTCTTAGATGACTTGAGGAGAAATCAAGATGAACCCTGCAGTTATAGGAATGGGAGTACTATAAAGAAGCTGCTAGTAGTTGGCAGGTGAAGACTTCTTTTCACTTCCAGTAGTGCCTGCTGTTTAATTCCTCTCATTGATTTGCTAAGAGCTCTGTAAGAAAGACACTGAGGATATGGTAGGAAGAATACAGTATAGAAAGCTGATGCTCCCAACTTATTAAGATTCTTTTAACCTAGGGAGGAGTAAACTTTTCATTGATAGAACTGTTCAGTGGGTGTTTTTTTATGTATGTCTATAAGCCCCCTCTAACATCCTTTTTGTATTAAAAACAGAACAACAAAACAAATGCCACAAACTCCCGAGAAGTATAGCAATATGAGCTAGATGGTGGCTGGCTAGAGGTGGTGCTAATTCCTTCCAAAAATAGAAGGGCTGGGCTTTAAGCAAATACTCTAACTTTCAGATTGTGAAATAAAGCAAAAGTTCATAAAGCAAAATGGATTGGAACACAGTTTCAGCCTTGTGTAACATCATGCCTCCCTGTTCCCTTTATTGTGCAGTCACTTCTATAAGTTTTCTATAGGTGTCCTTCAAAATACTGTTTATTTCACTTTAGGCTGAAGGCGAAGACAAACTTGGCCATGAGCTACCCCTTACCAAAAATAGAGAGGTCTTGCTCTGTAGGTGCTGAATCCAGCCAGGCATTTGCATTCTGAAGCTGTAAAGCTTGCAGGCCCTTAGCTGATCCTGCTCGAGGCATCAGAAGACACAGCACTTTGCTGAATTGTTGTCCCACTAGCTCAGTGATGTAAACTGGCTTAGAGAAAGCTTGACAAGCGTCAGAGCTGCTGCAAACTGGTGGGAGTTGGCAATGACAGATGATAAGCACAGTGCTGCCTCTTGAGCACTGCTGAATTGTCTAAAGTCAAATGGTATCCTCTCTGCATACATGAATTTCAGTACAGGATGGGAGGCCTTGGACTAGTTTTATAGTACTCTTGTCTGATTGTACCGTACAAGTCTGTGAACTAAATGTTGTATCCTGCACAAATGCTAAATCTGCATTCAGTTCATACAGTAATCAAGCAATTTTGGGATATCATCCCCTATGGATATTAACATGCAAGTCTGTATCTTCTGTGAACTAAATGTTGCATCCTGCACAAATGCTAAATCATCTGCATTCAGTTCATACAGTAATCAAGCAATTTTGGGATATCATCCCCTATGGATATTAACATGTGATAAAACGCATGCCAAGATACCTTAGAATCCATTTTCATACCTTAGAATCCATTTTCTTGCCTTAAGCCAAGAGCTGGAGATCATGTGAAAAGTTACCATTCTAAGAAGCTCAGTTCTGGCAGTTGAAATCACAGGTAGGATTTAGGTTTGCTCAGCTTGGTCACTAGCCTCAGGGAGGTGGCTGTCTCATTTCAAGCACCGATACTTCGTGTTTGCTCATTTGAAATAGAATAATCTGCTCAAAACAGCAGCAGTTGTGTACTCAGCAAGCTGCTGCAGGCATCCTGTGATCTTTGTTGCAGTTTAAGCCTCTTTAAGAGTTGGGTAACAACTAGTAACACTAGTAAATCTAGATTTAAAAACCTTTTTTTACAAAGGTATGATCTGCTTAGCTTGTATTAATCTGCAAGGTGCACTCTGCTCTCATGGCACTATGCAAATAAAGCTGCATCAGTCCTCGCTGTAGTGTTGGAATATATCTAGAGAGGTCATCTTCTAGGTGACTGATACAAAGCTGTAGTATAACTTCTAGCCTGATTTCATGTAGGAACAAAGCCTTTTTTTTCCTCCTTGGATATCTTTTAAGCCAAGTTGATGGATGGAGGCTGTTAAAATACTGAGTTTTTAACTAAGGAAACAGAGGTGACAAGCTGGGAGTGGTTCAGTCTGGTGCAGTGGTTGGTTAGAGACAGGCATAAGTGTCATCCACAGGATGCAGCAGCTTCAGCTGCAGTTGTGCCTGTTGAGACACCAAAGTCTCCTGTGACGTGAATCACTTCTTAAATCAAATATAGTCATATCTAGTCATATTGAAGGACTTGCCAAAAGATTTGTGTAGTTTTGGTCTGAGTTGCTAAATAAGGATAATTTCTGGACCAAACTGGGAAAAAGTATTTTGACAAGTACATATGGTATATATGTATATATGTTTATATATGTAACAAATGGAATGTATTGCTGAATAACATAAATGTCTCTTGAAAAAGTGAAGAACTAAAATCCTTTGACATGTACCTGTGAAATACTATTTAGCATTGTAAAACTGTATCCTGGAGTGTACTGAAGCCCAAAGCAGGCCTGGAGCTGTGATTTCTAGAGTGGTCAGTGCATGCATAAGCATGTTCTGGAATTAAAAAAAAAAAGAGGAAATCTGTTTAGGTTTTGTTTAGTCTCCCTGGTAGAGATGTATGTGCATGACAAACCAAACCAAACCAAACCCCACCCTGCCACCTTCCCCTCCAGCCACCAGGCAACCTATCTGTAAAGAGCTGTGGTTTTCTTCACTTGGATGCCTGTGTTCATTTTATGAATTTTTGTCTACTTATCTCATTTACTTTTGCCTTGTCTGATCCAAATGGCAAAGCTGAGTGGCGTGCACTGAGGACTTGGGAGAATGCTAGTGCAGAACTTTGATTGCCTTTCCCTCTTAGAATGGTTTGCTCTGCATGCTGGTAGGCATGAGGAATGTGTGTAGGTTTTTTTTTTTCCACATGCACACCCCTGTTTAGAAATCAGCAGTTTCACTTATTACAAATAAGTATTCTGTACAGCCCCTGGGTGCTATACTGTTTTTCTGAGATGTCTTGATCTCCTTTCTGGAAACTGACAGTGCAGAATCTGCAACAGAATCTGCAAGGTCTAGTGAATTGAGAAGTGTCCCCTCTGACCTTCTCAAAGAGCACACTTCCCTGGCTGGTAATCTTCTCTGGGCAGTCAGAAGCAAATTCATTACATGTCTCTACGTTGCCAGCATGCTGTATTCTAGCCTGTGAAATAGAGATTTTTCTCTAAGCTCCCTCATCAGTCTAATTGTCTGCCTACTATTTCTCTCTCGTAGGATTTCAGTGAGTATAAACCTACCACAGTGAAACTTCCTCAGAGTGCCTTTTCATGCTCCTTACTTGCCTAGTACATAAACTACATTTTTGTGTTAAATGTGCTCATATAATGGCTGGATTCTTCTATATGAGGCACTGCTCTGTGTTGCCTGTCCTTGAGGACCAAAGACCTTGTTACAGTACCATCAGCCAGAAATGTTAGGTGCAAGCTGTACTTGACTCTGATATCCTTTCCCAAACTGGGCAAAGTACCAATAAATGTTAATATGGGTGGGTTGATTTACATGTATCAAGCTTTCAGCATGACTTGTTCTCTTGAATTGTAATCATTTAAAGTATTTTGTAACTGTGACAAGTATAGATTGTCAATCTTCTGGTCCTCCTTTATTCTCTTTGCCTTCTGCAAGCTGGTGTTGGGAGTCTTGTGCTGGCCTGTTAGTGCAGGGGCTTAAATGCTTAGCTAGTTTCAGCAGTTGGCCTGTTTGTGAGGGAGAAGAGAGAGGATTAAGTCAAGGTCAATTTTTTTTTTTTTTTTTTGTTCCTTGCAGTTTTAGCTGTTTCTGTAGTTAAAATACATTCTTCCATTCTGCATTCTACAACTGATGGACAAAACTGTTCTCTTTAGCTCTAAGTGCTTGGGACTTGAAAGCTGTGCACATATACTCATCAGTGGCTCAAACAACATTTCATTATGGATGATCCTTGAGGCACAGCAGATTATCATTGTGTTTTAATAGCTAGTCTAATGTTGATGGTCTCTGAGAAAAATGAGAGAACAATGTGGAAATCTGTTAAAATGTAGCATGTTAAAAAATCTCCTTGGTTTAAAATAAGTTTCTTCTCTTGTTTTGTAGACTTCTCCTTGCTGGATAGGTGGAAACACTGAACCATTGACTGGGTTTACATGGAGAGGTGGATGTGAACGGGAAACCACTGGCATTCAGATTTGGAGTGAAGTATTTGTAATTGATAAACCCAATGGAACAAAGGTAAGTGCTTGACTCAAAGTGTATGTAAGGAGTTTTGTCTCTGTGTGTGTCGTTAATGCCCTGTGTTTCATGGAGGCAGTTCAAACATCAGTTGCTTTCCTTTGCATTCAGTAGCTGCATAACATATGCAAATTCCTACTGGGTTATAAGATTCAGTCTCCAACAGTAGTCCCAGTCTGAGAGCACTTTTGTTTTGGCAAAATCTACTCTGTCCAGGCTAATGGGTGGGTTGTCCTGTGGATGTTGTCTGTATGATATTTCTAGCCATTACAGTTTTACAAATACTTTGATAAGAACAGCCCTGTAACAAACAGTGGTTTTTAAAAGGTGAGAATGTGTTCTAGCTTGTAGCTGAGCTCTAGTGAAAAGTAAACTGTGACTGTAAGTCCTGGAAACAGCTTCAGTGTCTGGAAGCTTGTCCTTCCATGTAGGTTAACAGACAGTCCCTAGAAAAGGGGCTATGTCTAACAGTGGGATAAAAGGCAGTAACTATTCTCATCAAAGCTGGTGCATCTTTATAAACCTCAAGTCAGTTTAACTACAGACTTTGGTTGTAGATATTTATCTTCATGTTGAAACAAAGTATTACTGTTAAAAAATATTTACTCCACAATACTGGTGGTGTGTGTTGAGGTATTTGTGTTCTTCTGAACCATAAGCTCTTGGTTATTTAACTTTCATACCCTTAGCATTTGCATCTGATGACCATTTAATATGGGACACTAATCTTAAACAGATAGTAGCTTAGGGGCACACAGGAAGTACTATCAAATTTCATAGCTAGCCAATTAGTTCTCTGGCTAAAAAAATGGGTATGTTGTGAAGATCTGTTTGTGCTCTGGGGACAAATTACTTACTTGCTTTTGCTCATCAGTCTTCTCTAACTGAAAGAGAAGGGAATTGTGGTAGATACCAAAGATGGCAATTGGACAAATTAACTTTTATCATTAAGATAACTTCATTCATTGTTATTCTAGCAGACAGTATCAATGACCTTGTTTTCTTCTGAAAATTGCTATTTTAAGATAGATATATTTTTAAAAGTAACCATCTCACTCTTAGCTCTAATGAGCTATGCTGGGTTGTCAGCTGATACTGAAGTTCTGGTGAATAAGAGCTGTCCAATACTTTGCACTCTACCCCCACGGGGCTGAGGGAGGCTGTTCCTGTGGGAGAGGGCAACTAGTGTAGCAGGGCCAAGGACTTAAGGCTGATGACATGGCCCTCTAATTGTGCTTACTCAGCTGTATGTGGGCACAGGGAGCTCACTGAGGTTTAGTAAGTAGGTACAGGGGCAGAGACTTGCTCTACTTAAAATAGAATTTATCCCAATGGCCTGGACTTTGAAAGTGTTAACGATTTGTTAACTATTGCTGCTCTTTAAAACTCTAGGTTGCTGTACTACTCATGGATACCCAAGGTGCCTTTGATAGCCAATCCACTATCAAAGACTGTGCAACGGTTTTTGCTCTGAGTACCATGACAAGTTCTGTCCAGGTGAGAACACCTTTGCTGGCAAATAATAGGAGCTATGGGAACACTATCCTGAACATGCAAAGAGTGTCTCTCTAGCTCTGAAAGTGCAGCTGCATGTCTTCCTCCAGTTAGCCTTTAAGCTTAGTGCCTTATTTGCAGTGTAGTATACTACAGAAGTTTCTCTGTGGAATCAAGGTCAAAGGCCAAGCGGAGTTAAATTGCTGACTGAACTGAGGAGTGATAAAAAAGATGTCAAAGTAGCAACTGCTTCTGTGCAGCTGTGTTACAGAATCTTTTTCAAGACTCTAGATACAGTTCAAGGTGAAATTAATGTGATCAGCATAAGGTTTTTTTTTTTTTGCTGCTGTTAAACTTCTGACAATTCTCTTGTGCTGTGGCCAAAACTACTTCTAGATTGTACCTTAAATGTGTCAAAAATGAGCATGTTTTTGAGGGATGACAAGTGACCTTCAAACATGCTACAACATGAAAGCAACAGGCGTATGTAGAACACTACTTCTGCCCTGTGGTGGTGTTTTTGGTGTTTTGGCTTTATTTTGTTCCAGTGGGTAGGATAAGTTGAGGGTTATTGATGCATCTTTGAGTTCACTACTGTTCAGTAGTAAACTCAAAGTGCTATTGAAACAGTCATAAACTTCCTGGGTAAAATCAGATTTCTCTGGGAATATTTGAAAGAAAAAAAACCCTGGTGAAAGAACTACCCAGTTAATCCTGTGTTGGAGATGCAGCTGCTCCATCACTGAATCCTAGAGCACTTGAACTTGAGGATGGCAAACAGACTTGCCCTTGTCAATTCTGCCTCACACCTATGTGGTGATTTGAAGCATTCAGCAGTCTTGTCTGAGTCCTGTGTGGCTTGCTTCCTTGGAGGGAAGCTGTTGTAAGGAGGATTAGGGTAGTCAGCAGTGATTTTGTCCCTAGCACTTTGTATAAGGAAGTAACTTTTGTTTGAGATGTGTTCTGTGGCACCTATCTAGATGCTGTCTTTGGTAGTTAGACTTTTCTGGAGGGGTAAAATGAATGTCAGGTAATGTTTTCATGTTAAATTCTGCTTCTGTCTCTGGCAGGTATACAACTTGTCCCAGAATATTCAGGAAGATGACCTTCAACATTTGCAGGTAAGAATATGCTGAATTTATATTAAGCTGCCTCTCTACTGATAGTGTTGACATTGTTCTTGAAGTTACTACTAATGTAAATGATTTGGGAACTGCCTGCTACACTGAAGCTGATGTGGTGCTAAAGCTAGTCCTGCCTGTTATAACATTATTTGCTTCAGTTCCATGATGCTGTGATTCTTCTGCTGTGCCAATGCAGAGGTAAAATAGTACAGGCTTCTAATCTGGCTAAGTTGAATTTTGAAAACAGTGAATTCTGAAATTCACAAAAGATTGAGAAGTATGGAAGTACTTAATGAGAATTCCAATGTTTCTCCTTTTCCCCTAAACTAGGCAAATGCGTGGTATTTCATAATGAGTTTCTGAAGAAATGTGAGAGCTTGTGTCAGGGCAGAAAGAGCTGCTTCTACCCAGAAGCCTTCTCTAGTTTTTCAGCTGAGAAACTTCCACAGTGTTTTATTTCTGCTTAGAAATAGAAGCAGGAAAGAGCTGTCCTCTTTTTCATGTTCTAATGGAACACTGTAGTCCCAGGCCACTGTATTCTGGCTTCATGTGAATGGTGCAAGAACCTTATCTCCTTAACTTAAAAGCTGTAGCTTTAAAGGCTAGCTTGTGTATTAACAAATGCCTGCCTGTGCTCAGGTCATGACCTTGTCACAGCTTAAAACTGTTTTACATGTCTTCTGATTGAAAGGACTTCTGTTTTGGTCAGTGCTGCAAAAGACTGGCTGCCAATATTGGAAGTAGAAGAGCACTAACTAAACATAGGCTTGTGATGTTGTTCTCAGTTAACAGAGTTGTATCACTGGGCAACCCCTCCACTCCTCCTTCCCCTCTCAATCCAAACATGAAAATACATAACCAAGCACTTCAAACAACAACAAAAAAAAGCCTTAGCTAATTATTTGAAAATCAGGCTTTCCTCGTGACTTTGGTCTTTTGACTGCTTCAGTGCTATCTGCAAATCTGAATAGAGAGATCTCTCTGTTATACTGGGAGATGAGGTTTGAGGGGAGGAAGGGAAGGGAAGATAAATACAAACAGTGGGTAGGGGATAAAATTCTGAATTTCTGTTTTAACAGGAATATCTGTTAGTCCCTGGCTGCCTTTTCTATGCAGCGGGGAGGTGACTAGGGTAGGGAGTTGGGATCGAAGGAGCCAGTTTCATGTGGGTACTTGGTGACTTCAGACCTTTTGCTTGGGGTAGCAAGGGCTTTGAAGGTAATTTGTGTTAAGTTAGTCTTGTAAGTTCTGTTGTGATTGACAGCTGTCCTTTTAGCCATTAAATCTATCTGATATGTTCCAAGAGTTAGTTCTGATGCAGAACAGTTGCCTGGTAATAGGCAATACCTGTGTGCTTCCTTTGTCTTGACCTCCAAGATCTGTAAGGAGGCTACCGTGGATCAAGACCTGACAGTATAGACCTGAAACAGCCAGTACAGTCCATAATTTGTATTCTCATGGGTTGTCTCGCCCACTCAGTCTGCAGAATGCTGCTGCTGGTGTTAAAGATGGTAAAAGCAACGAGAGGAGGACCACCAACACTTGCCTTTGTCCTGGAAGGACAGAACAATTACCAGTAAAGGTCATAGGCTGAAGTAGAGATCTGGGAAGCTGCTGAACTTGGCTTGGATTTAAATGTCTGTTGGGTCTAGCCAAGTTCCTTGATGTCCAGGAGTGGGAAACTTTTGTGGGAAGTAAGGGTCCAGTGTTAGAAAGGGTTACCTCCTTAGCCTAGGAAACAAGTGTTGGAAACTGACTTGTTGAGAGATGCAGCCAGCCTCCCTCTGCGAAGAGTCCCCAGGCCACCCATGTAGAGCTGTGCTGACAATTACAGAATGATGCTGTGGAACCACTGAAAATCATGTCTGCTTCCTGATTTTTACTGATTTTGTACTTGAGGAGTGTTGGCCATTCTTAACCTGTAACAGGATTTAAGTTCAAATGCTTTATTTTCTAGTGACATAACAGAATATTTTACAGTAGAAAAATGTTGTTTATATGCAGCACCCTTACACTCTTCTTTTTATCAGTTATTTACAGAGTATGGAAGATTAGCTATGGAAGAAATTTACCAAAAGCCATTTCAGGTAACTATGTTAAATGGATCTTAAGCAATTGAGTGTGTAGAAAATGAGCACAGGATGATTTATTAAGAGAAATTAGTTAGCCTGTTCTTTACAAGACTGATTTTTTTTTCCTTCACTGTCACCACATTTCTTGGCAAAAACACAGTGGAAAAATGCAGAAGAGGATCACATTTTGGGCAAGTACAGCTTTGTACCTGAGTTAAGCATGAAGAGAATTAAAGTGTCAAGTGATGTGCAGATGTTAAGGAGAAAAGCTTTAGGCTGCCATCCTACTACTTTTGAGATCTGGTTGGTCTTTACTGGTGACACATGGATCTGAGTAAAGGTCATGTGGCCTCTTAAGAAGCAGCATTCTGCAGGGCCGTGTCACATCTCATTTACTTGAAGCATAACTGGTTTCAGTGTTAAGTGTTAAAACTGCTAGCATCTCCTGTTTAATAGGCCAGAGAAGGGTTTGAGGCTTCTTCTGTTAAAGACAGACAGATCTCCTCCATCATAAAGTATCCTCCTTGACCTATAAGGGTACTAGTTACTGCTGTTAGTGGTGGTTTTTGGCTCTTTTGTCTCAGAATATTCAGCCTGGAAGTTCCTAGTGTTCTTGTGAGTGGCTCAGGCAAGATGCATTCTTGGTAAAGCACCTTATCTGACAGATCAAACCTTGACATTACTCTTACATCTTCAGCTGATGGGAGAGAAGACGTGTAATCAGTGTGGTATAGCAAGAGGCAAACCTGTGGAACAGGGAAGCTCTGAGACACCTGGCCACTTCCCTGCAGATAGGGAGTGAGTTGCATTTCTGTTTGTGTGGCTTTTGTGGTGCTTTTTTTTTTTTGTTTTAAGCAAACACCTGCACCACAAACTACAAGGCTACTTCATTTAGAGCAGTTAAGCTTAGATTTTTTTTCTCATTTAAAACAATCATTTGTGATAGTTTTTGACCTTAGGAATGATGCAAGCCGTTCACTGCTGTTGTTCCTTCTATTGCAGACACTAATGTTTTTAATTAGAGATTGGAGCTATCCTTATGAACATGCATATGGCTTGGAAGGAGGAAAGAAGTTCCTAGAGAAAAGATTGCAGGTAAGTTACCTCCAGTAGTCCTAGTGTCTTCTAGTTTAAGTGACAGCTCACCATCAAGATAATGACAATTAATGCATTATTTGTGATGTTCCCAATCATGTACAGAGTTCTGGGGTTTAGAGCTTGACTTTGTGTTCAGGAATTAGTTTAAACACACTTTTGTTCTTTTACTGCTTTTAAGCTGACATTTAATCTTAATTGCTGTACTGCAAAACTATTAGCCATTCTTACTGCCTTTTTTTCTTCAGGTAAAGCAAAACCAACACGAAGAGCTACAGAATGTAAGGAAGCATATTCACTCCTGTTTCAGTAATCTTGGCTGTTTCCTGTTGCCCCACCCTGGTCTTAAAGTTGCAACAAATCCAAATTTTGATGGGAGGTTGAATGGTAGGAACCTTTCCATTGTGTGTTTCTTGATTAAGATCACTGAGTTTATTTTCTTTTATAATGGAAGTCAAACACTGAAATGTTTGGCTATGGAAATGTTTGACTGGAAAAACATAGAGCTGAAAGGTAAAACTGCTGCATCTGGAAATATGTTGTGTGTTCTTTTCAGTGGTTTAAAGGGGCAGTTGGGCAGAGGGAATGGGTATCTGTCTAGCTGCTGTATGTAATCTGAGAATGAGACATACTTAAACTTAAGGGTCCTTAAATAAGGGTTCTAAAGATAAATAAGGATTCCAGAGGAGAGAATTCACAAAATTAAGACTTCATTTTCTTAAAATTGAAAGGATTTTCTCTCAGAACTTGCTAAACAGAAGGTCAGAACTAGAATGACTTTAAAATAAAAGCTGTAGGCTTTTGCTTACTACAGAGGGAGGCAGTCAGGGTTCCTCCAATTGATGCTTGTCCCCCAGCAGAGGGGATGTATCAATGGCAAAGGCTAAAGTGGGTTTGTGACAGTGGAGTGCAAATTACTTCTGTGCTGAGGGCATAGACCTGTGGGATTATTGTATGGGATGTTGGCATATTGGACAAATGTGCTCTAAGTATGAAAAGACTATGGAGCCTTGTCCTCACAGTCTGAATGAAGTAAAAGAGTTAGGTAGAACTTACTGTTCTATACAGTATATTTAAGCCTTTAAATACCTTAAAAATGCAGTCAAGAGTTGTCATGCTATGGATAGTGAAGGGTCGTGGGTTATCAGTGTTTCATTAGAAAATACAAGATTGCAAAGCAAGCTAACAATTTTTTTCTGAAACTGAATTTTACTAGATATAGATGAGGATTTTAAGAAGGAACTGCGGAATTTGGTACCATTACTGCTTGCCCCTGAAAACTTGGTAGAAAAAGAGATTAGTGGATCCAAGGTGACCTGTAGAGATCTTGTAGAATACTTCAAGGTAAGCAAACTCATAGTAATTATTTCTCTTAATGGCTTAAAAGAAAGTATTCTATTTTTAGGGCATGTTGTTCCCAGAGAAGACAAGATATCTAGGCTGACAGTCACTGAATCAGCTCACTTATTTTCATTTCATTACTCTGACTTTCCAGAACTGACATGCAACTTCCTAACAGCTCTTAGCAAGCTTACTTTTGGCAAAACTGTGTTGTTTTGTGTTTTTTTCTTTCTTTGTAAACAGGCTGAAATACTTCAAGCTTTATTAGAGATTTACTTTTTATCTACTTTGAAATCCTAGTTTGTCTGGATATGTTGCCCCTTTTAAGAGGGTCTTGTAGATTGTACAGGTAGAAAACCAGCTCTTAAACTGTTAGGTATGTAGTGAAAATTTCAGATATTCCACTCTGGATCTTTTAAAATGCAAAGAAGATGCTTTATAAACACTTTGAGTGTGCAGCACCACTGTATGCTGTGAAGTGTTTGTGTATGATACTTGCAGCTGTTAGACTCTTGAGCTGTTTTGGTATCATGGTGACACCAGCAGAAATGTGATAACATAATCCCTACATCATCAGGAATTGGTCTGGTGTGTAACCTTTTTTGAATTGGAATGACTTAAACAGTTGGCTTGGTAGGAGAAAGTGGCACTCAGTCCTAAAGACACTAATTTTGCATTACTACTTTTTTTGAGCATGCATGTTAAAACAGTTGGGCTGGTGTTAAGAAAAGTTATGCAGGGCAGGGAATCAGAGACCAGAACTCTTTAACACTTGTAAAATGAAGTAACTTCTTATAAAGGAAAGACATGATATGGGATGGAGAAGTCATGGCTGTTCTGACCAAGCATGAAATCAACACTTTGGAGCTCACATGTTCAGTCTCTGTATTTACATTGTTGCATGCTGCATTCTTTCTGGTTTCTTCTCTAGTAAGATCTGATCCTATACAGTTTAGGGAGTGTGCATTCAACAACAGCTTGGATAAAGGACTGTACCCTAAAAACTGACTGTAAAACCTCCTCTATTGAAAAGCTGCCTGATTCCTGTCCTGTATCTAGTCTGGGAGCAGTCAAGAAGGGTGCTGTGGAAACGCTGGTTATGTAACTAAAGAGGACATCTCCCTTGGGACTGTGCATCTAAAGCTGAGATTGTGAACTCTTGAGTTGGAAACTGGAAGGCTTTTACTTGGAGGAAATATCTGTGAAAGCAAGGAGGGTGTCAAGGGAGCAGAGTCCTGTATAACTCTATACATTTTTGTAGGTTGTTCTACAACCTAGAGCATTAGGTATATAGGGACCCTGATAACCCTGTGTTTTCTTCCTTTACAGAAAAAAATTCTCAGGGCAGAGGCCTGTAGACAAGCCCAGAGAGAGGGCAGTAGTAGCACAAAGAACTGCCCAACCTATGAGGGCCTGAGAGGGGCCTTATTGGTCTAACTTGCACAGCTTGACTGAAGCCCAGAATGGCTACAGCTGCTTGTGGTGTCTCCTCCACTGACCTGTCCCCAAGAGCTGTGCCATGGGCTATCTCGTGGGCTGGAGAAGACATGAATGACGTGTTCTCTTCCAGCCTTCTAAAATCCTGGTGAAAGAAGGGACATCTGAGGTTTTGGTGGGGTGGGGCACAGAGGGATAGGCTGCATGTTTGGTTTCTTGAAATATTTTAGCAGCTCATCTGTCTGCATTAGTGCTTTGATCTACTTTTTTTCCTCCCACACTTCAAGGGTGCAAGGCATATGGGAAATGTAAGTACTGGTTCTCCCAGCACTGGGGTGCGCTGGGACAGATCTCTTGCAAGAAAGCTGTGTGAGGTACTCATCTTCACTCGTTTCATTTTGGGTGAAGATTCCCTGCACAAAGACCTTCTTGCGTGTTTGAGGGGGCAGAAACCTGCTGCCAACCCTGTTGCTGCTTGAGATACTGGCTGTGTCTCCTCAAGGTGCAGTGCTACCCTGCTAGGCCCCAGCTTCACATGCACAGGAAAGTGAAGGGATTAAAACACTTGGGATAGCTGTGAGAGTGCCAGACTTGTATGAAGAAATTTGCATAATGAAATATTTAGCCTTATTGCAAATAAATAATCTATAAGTAGTATCTTTGTATTATTTCTCTTCTCCCCTTCTTGGTAATCATGAACGTTTGGGAAAAAACCTTTTTTTTTTCTCTCCCATTTAGGCTTATATTAAAATCTATCAAGGAGAGGAGCTACCTCATCCAAAATCTATGCTGCAGGTATTTTAATTTTCTTTCAAATAAAGTATCCATCGTCATATCAGATTATGTTCTTTGCAACTGAAGATCAGGACTGCTGTGGGTCGGAAGCTCCCACACAGAGCTGTAGTGCTTGAAGGAGCTGTGTGCTTTGGGAGCCATCTGAGCTGTGGATCCTAGGTACACATTTCTTTCCTCAGTTTCAGATACCAAATGGAGCAGGGATGTATCTGATCGGTTGGGCTTATGCTGCTTAAACTTCTAAGCATGTTTCCTGTAACGTGCTATTTTGTCAGTGTCTTTCAGACTGTATTCGGGGGGCTTTTAGCATCAGATGCAGCAGATAAAATGGAGAAGTCCTGTTGCCACTGATTGTGGAACTTAATTGTTCCAGATGCAGCTATTGCCACTGTCTGGCAGTGTTGGGCTTCTTTATGTGGGTTTGTTAAATTGGATAACTGCATTGAGGTTTCTTTTCTGGGTTGATCCAAAGAGGATGTAATCAGCTTTAAAGTGATCTGAACACAAACTGATTGTGTATAAAGCTGTGTTGAACCCTTGGATTGTTTGAGATGAAGAGCTTTCAGCAGCCTGTTGGCTTTAGAATCAGTTTTAGCCATTTTGTTTTTGCAGGACTTGGGCTTTCTTTAAGCTTCCTGTATCATTTCATTAGCACATGACTGTTCTGGGTGTTTTCTCATCTTTTAAGGAATCAATTCTTTAGACTTTTGGGGAGTTCAGAAAACTCCCCACAGTGAAGCAAAGGCTGTTATTTCCTCTGGTACTCCATAAATGTGGCTGGGAGATACAGACGATGACATCTTGCAGCATTAGCTAGAATAACTGTCCCTGACATGATACAGGTGGAAAACAGTCTTAAATTCTTTCAAATTCTGACACCAACACTGCACATAAGTAATGCAGAAATAATACCAGCTTGCTTTTCTCCTCACAGGTAGTGATGTATCAGGATTAATATTTAATAGTGTAGTGAACCTTATTTGCTTATTAACAATAGAGCATTCAGGTGAGATTGCTCATGATGAAAGCCTGTGCAAGCACACAGGAGCTTGTCTGCAGCTGTACTAGAAAGCTGAAGGAAATGTTCCCCTAGTCAGTAATCTGTTTTAATGTATATGGCTAACCTTCACTTGTCTTTTGTGGGGTGTTTTTCTGGCAGTCTGAAGCCTTGGAGGGCACGTTGTGCAGTGTAACTACATGTATGTGACTAGCTGGTAATGCTGTGGTGACACGTGGTGCTCCATGTTTTCTAGGCAACAGCTGAGGCGAACAATCTGGCTGCTGTGGCAGGAGCAAAAGACTTGTACAGCAAAGGCATGGAGCAGGTATGGTGAGACAACCTTTTCTAACTGCCTACGTGCAAATACAGGCCTTCAGTTTTAACCTTGGACTTGGTGTTGGTTGTGAGCATGTTAACAGAGGAAGAGTAGCTTAGGGCCATTTCTTGTGTTCGAGGTCTGATTCAACAAAGCCAGGATTGTTTGGGACCAAATTTTCTGGGGGGCTGTGGGAATGGGTGTGTTTGTAAGATATCCTCTGTCAGTTCCCCCTACTGCTTTTGATGGGCATTTAAAAATCCTGTGACATGAAATGGACCAACAGGTGAGGAGACATTTGGGCTAGAGTTTGGACAAGGGTACAGTTCTAGTATTATAGTCTCATTCTCCTGAATTGTGGTTATTAATTTGCTGTAAAATGCAAGGATTAAAATTATTCTGAAGCTTAAAACAGATGTTGAAATACAGGAATTATCTTGTTTGAAAAAAGCTGTGTATATAAATTCTTACTTGCTTCTTCTCATGAAGATAGTGATTTACTACTCCAAGCTGAATGTCTGAATGAAATTAATTCATACTTCAGCATAGTCTTATGCAAGGAATTATCATAGCAAATTCTGAAAACAATTGTCTTGTAAAGCTTAACAGGACTCTACTTACTGTGAAACTGTGCAAGTGGAAAAGACCAGTGGATGTGATAACATGCTACAAACATAGCTCTCCATTAAGTCAGTCTGCTGGTCTTAACTGCTGAAGTAGCTTCCCATTTTGAAATTAGACTAACACCTTATGCTAGTGGCTGACTAGCCAGATCCAGCTGTTAGCAGGCTTTTGAGAATGCTCTGTTGGTGTAGAGAGACTCCTTCCTTTGTTTCTGTTCTGGAAAATTGCTTGCAATGGTAAATGGGTTGTTTATAATAAATGCCAAGTCTGCCTTTCTACCTTAAATCTACAATTGCTGTTGATGTGCTGCAGTTGTAAGGTTTCTTACTTGGGCCAAGGGATAAACAGGAACAGATGTTCTCTTAGACATTGTTTCCATAGTAATGTTCCCCAGTACTGTATATTTTTATATCACCGTAGAGATACACACAAATGTCTTGAATTGTTTTTATCCAGATGTCTCAGATGATGTTCTTAATGTTACACAGCTCTGAAATATCTGTTTTTTAGGAATAGCAGTGGGAATTCATTGGATTTAAGACTGGATTGTGTAAAGATAGTTCTTACTGTAGCTTCTGAGTTCTCATGAACCAAAGCCCTCCTTTGAGTGTGCATAACCAAAATACTGTCCCTTTAATGACCTTAAATGTAATGAAGAACAAGTGCAGTCACAGTGCTGTTGTTTGACATCATATGGAAAGAATATGCAGTTTCTGACACAGTCTGAGGGTCTTGAGGAGCTGGAGCTGATGTGTCATATATATATATCTCTGATGGCCTAGGTAATGTCTAATAGTCCTCAAGAGGTCAGAAATCAGTCTTACAGAGTAAAATCCTTGGAGTCTAACCATTTTCATACCTGTGCTGATTCAGGGAGAGGGAGATGGTGGTGACCACATCATGGGTATCCATTTGAGTCCATGGTTTTGTCCCTTCAGCAGAAACATGCTCTTACAAGTTGATCAGAATCAAACCTAGAGGACAGTCTAGGGGAGAACAGGATAAAGATAGCAGCAGCTAGTTCTTGTTGCTTGATTCCTCCTCATAAGTTCCATGGAGCCTGCTAGTGGCAGCAATAAACAGGAATAAACTTGAGTGGGCAAAATTTACCCTGTTGTCTAAGTTCTGCCTTGACCCTCTCACTGAGGTGGGTGGCCAGGGGTAAAAAACTGAGGGGGAGGGCTTGTGGCCTTCAGTTCTCCTTAACCTTCCTCAAGCCAAGCTTCCTCTGCCTTCTGCTTCTCCTTTATTTCCCTGTTTCACAGCAAGTAACGTACCTGTGGCTGATGTTCTGTCCTTCCAGGCTTGATCAAAGGGAATGGTTGAAAGTATGAGTGCAGTCATGTGCCATAGCTCTGCGTGTGGTGACAGATAGGGCTCTTGCTGTGCCATGATGCAAAGTACCTTTACCTGCTTCACGTGAGACAGGACTCTAGAGCTCGTATAGCCAAGAAAGCTGCAGGAGTTCGTCTGCAGGCTCGAGGGTGGGGGCGGTGGGGAGCAGGTTTGGTGCCTGTGCAGCAGAAGGCACGGGTGGTGTGCTGACCTCCCCTTGGTTGCTCTGGCAGGTCTGTGGGGGAGATAAGCCCTACATCGCCCCGTCGGACCTGGAGCGGAAGCACCAGGATTTCCGGGAGTCGGCCGTGCGGCAGTTCCGCGCCGTGAAGAAGATGGGAGGGGAGGAGTTCTGCCGGCGCTACCAGGAGCAGCTGGAAGTGGAAATCGACGAGATCTATGCAAACTTTGTGAAGCACAACGATGGCAAAAACATCTTCTATGCTGCTCGTACCCCTGCCACTCTATTTGCAGTCATGTTTGCCATGTATATAACCTCAGGACTGACTGGGTTCCTTGGTATGAACTCCATAGCTACCCTGTGTAACCTCCTGCTGGGGATGGCTCTTATATCATTTTGTACTTGGGCATATGTTAAGTACTCTGGGGAATTCAGAGAAGTTGGAACAGCCATTGATCAGATTGCTGAAGCTATATGGGAACAGGTTGGTATCTTTTTTTTTTTAATACAAAAATCTTCCTTTCTTGAGCAGGCTTATCAAAGGGTTTCTGTTCAGTGCTGTGAATGAAAAGCTGTTCTAGACCTAATGGAGGATGCAAGTGCTGCCAAAGGGAAAAGGTGCTCAGGAGTGTGACTGCCCTCTGCAGTGTAAGAGATGCCACACACAAAGGATGTTGAACAAGCTTAGAATATTGTTTAAAAAAAAGTGTTAAAAAGCTTTACTAGGTGCTTGGATGGTAAAGAGCGGAGTGACTCTTTAAAAATCTTGTTACTTTTTCAGGGCAAGGAATTGTGCTTTTAAAGGTGCAGTTGAAGGGATAAACTTGCCCTGTGGATGTGATGGATAAAATATCTCAGGTGGTGCAAGAAATGAGGCAGGTAAAACACTGCTGCCCTTCCTCACCTCATCTGATAGTGTGACACTGGAAGGCTGATTAGACCTCAGGACTGTCTGATTTACAGCAGCTTCTACAAGAGGATATGGAGCAGGTTTCTTCCTTCTGGAAGACTTGAGTTGTCTTTCACAACTTCAGTTGGTGCAGCTAGTGTTGCAAGAGAGATTTGGTAAATTTCTGAAAGAAAAGATGACATGAGAGAGTACCAGAGCTGGAGAAGAAAGCATTTTGTACAGAGCTTTTGCTGCCTGAACAGAGTTGACAGTTGTGCCAGTAAAGCTGATGTAGAGAATTCCTGACCAGCTCTTAGGAGTAGTGTTTGGAGCATTCCAGGTAGCTATGTCCAGTGCCAGCAGAAGGGGAGCATTTTGTGTTATTGCTAGGAATAAAGGGTTTGCTGAACTTACCTGGGATGACATGAAAATGAGTCCTACAAGGCACAAGGAAATAACTAGCTGGAGCCTCCTATGCAGAGGCTGTCTTCTCCATATGAAAGATGGCACTCTGTTCCAGGCTGATCATAGGCAGCAGGACACTGGACCTGTCTGAGCAACCAAGTAAGGTTACGAGTTACACTGGGGCAGAAAATGTGGGTTTCTAATGATAGGAGGGAAATTAGCATCAGGGTACTAAATTTTAAGTTACATCCTTAACTACAGATTAAAACTATGCAAACATGTACCACCATAGCTCCTTGCTGTAGAGCTTGGGGCTGAGGAGTACTGCCAGAAAACAGGAAGGTGTCAGTGCTACACGTAGGACAGCTGAGAGCAGCTCCTGCTGCAGGATACCCAGAGCACACAAGGCTTGGCTGGGCTGCTGCCATTCCCTGGGAGGGGGAAGAGCTGGCTTGTGCTGGCAGGAGCTTGCCTTCTGTGGGCTAGGGGAAGGTGGTCTCCAGAGCAGCTTACTGGTGGTAGTGGTGTTAGCTGCACGTCAGTGATAAGCAAGGCACCTACAGATCCTGAGTCACTGATTATGTACCGTGCTCTTGCCGTTGATTTTTCTGAATCTCTGCCTTTCTTTTCCCTCCCTTGCTTCAGAGGAATCCCAGGAAGGTGAGAAGTTACTGGCAATCAATTTACTTTTCTGCACTTGACCTTTTCTGCTGCCTTCTAAGAGGCGTTTCTCCTAACAGCTGAATTCATGTTTTAGGTGTTTTCCAAACTCTTTGAAGTCCTTAGACGCCGAACGCTTCGCCGTGCTCTTACATCAGTGCCCCGACAGCGACTCTCATCCAACAATAACAAGAAGAAAAACTAGCCAGTATTTTTAACTTTCTTTCTGTATCTGAAGTGTTCACACTTACACATATAGGACAATAAGCTGGACTGTCTGGGCCGGTCTGCATAAATGCTGTAACCATACCAGACTGATGCTGCATATAGGGTATGGAATTGCACATCCATCTTCTAGGAACTGTAAAGTGGTCTGAGTTCAGTGAAATACTGCTGTGTAGGAGGGATATCACTTGTGTCCATAGCATGTGACTGATTTAACCTCATTCCTAGAGCAGCAAAACTCATTTCTCTTTCAGTTCATGCCAGTTTGTGTCAGACTTCATCATTCTGAGTTTTTCCATTATTTCAAGTCTCATCTTTGTATGCTTTTATATATCTTGTTTTCCTTGGTTACCTCATTTTTTTTGTTTCTTTTGCACATTTCTCATTCCACAGGTGTTGAAGCCCATGAGTGATAATTTGATGGAGGATCATATGAGGCAGTCTGTAAAAAACTCTATCAAAGCAGGCCTGACCGAGCAGGTGTCTCACCATGCCAGACTAAAGACAGACTGACAGTTCATCTTCTCTTCAACTCTGCCCTCTCATCCTAGACATGCTTGCTGTACCATGAGAACTCAATGATTAAAAAAAAAAATTAAAAATAAACCAAAGTTTACAATCAACTGTAGAAGTAGTTTAGTGTGACTGGCTTCACAGATTGCTGCCATCACCTGGGAAGAGTAACTCTGTCAGTGCTCTAAGACAAACTGGTGCCACGAAGGC